ATGTAAAACTTTTTGGGAGGAATTTTAAGCCATTTTTTTTAGTAATTGGGAATTTTCTCTAGGGAAAAAGCCGAATTTCGGCTGTAATTTGAGACAAACAATATCACTGTAGAGGGGCATAACTCTAGAACGGTTAAAGTGACGCCACCAAAATTCAAACTTGATCTGTGTTTTGTGGTAATTAACATTGTGTATAAGTTTCATAACATTTGGTTGAGGCAAACTCAAGTTAGAGAAGGGAAACCAATTTTGGACGTATGTTCGTACGTATGTACGTACAGACGGACAAGGGTAAAACTTAATGCCCCCACCGCTACGGCGGGGGCATAAAAATATAAGGGGTCTTTACTTGGGGGTTATAAAATTCCTTCGTTTTTTTCTTAAATAGGTTTGGGGATTTTTAAATTCCTTTGATATGTTCTTAAATAGGTTTGAGGTTATAATTTAAATACTTATACAGTACACACAGAGAGTACTGATTCTTATACTCCAAACACTGTGTAAAAACTTGGCGTCACACCAAAAAACTCCAGCAACACTCTCTAAATCTTGGGAGGAAATTAGGAGAAACTTACTTATGGGAGTTTTTAACGACCTTGACTGGCTATAAAGCCCTCGCACGGTCGGTGGGAGAAACTTGGTGTAATTCCTCCATTTAATCCCTTAATTGTTTATTACCTTGGTGTCTTTTCTCTTAACACCATGATTTTTATTGCCATAATTACCTTTGAAGTGTGCCAGTAGTTGTTGACTACAATAAACATTTCTTGTACATGTGTTTCCTGTCATTAAATGACAGTCACATTTGTAACATTTTAAGGACATCAAATTTAGAAAGAAAATATTAGAATATCACATGTTTATATAAGATGATAATAATAATTATAAATTAAGACAAGTTTAACTGAATTTAGTCAATCTTTTTTTTAAATTTGAATGAAAATTAAAGGAAGAAATATATATATTCAATTTTTTTAAATTCTTTTATTATTTGCTTTTATCATTTAATAATTTTTTAATCTGACTACAAATAAAACTTATAAATATCAACTAGCCATTCTTGATTATGTAAGAAAATTAATAATTTTCCAATCTTACAAGATAAACGAAAACAAATATCAATATATATTTGTATAAAAAATTTTAAAATTTCATTTCATTACCTTTTCAGATATTTCAGAAATAAAACTTTGAAGAAAATATTTTAAATAGGATGAAGTAATCAGAATTAGTTGACCTGTAATCACATGTCAATGTCAAACCATACAGTCATGCTTTGATGATTTTTATTACTTTTACCTGCAATCAACAAGTCATAAAATCATCCCAGATGGGAGCAATTACTGGGAGTATTTTGGGAGAGAAGTCTGTGTTTCACAGTGTGACACTGTGTTACACCAGAATCAGTGTTAGGAGTATGAGAATAAGTCCTCTCTGTGTGTACTGTATTCTTGTTTCAAGAATAAGTCAATCTAATAAAGTTCAATCAATCAGACTGACTTAAAATTACAAGGAGAACATAATTTAAAATGTTTTCTTCCTTTGTTATTCTAAATTTGATGTCCTATATATTGGGGGTTATAAAATTCATTTGATTTTTTCCGTAAATATGTTTGGGGCACGTGCACCTGTTCTATTTTTTAAATAAACCCTGTCAAAATATGGAAATAAACGATAATGATAAAGTGTAAAATCAACAGATAAACGACAGAAAAATCTAAAAAATAAATGTGGATAGTGTCCACATGTGGACAGATGATGCCCCGCTTGCATATCATATAGTTATAAAGGAACATAACTGAAGAACGGTAAAAGTGACGCTACCCAAATTTGAACTTGATCTGAGTTTTGTGGTAATAAGCATTGTGTGTAAGTCTCATAACATTTGGTTGAGGCTAACTTAAGAAGAGAACAGAAACTAAAAATTCAGCAATTTTCTCTTTGTAAACATGCATAACTCTAGAACGGTTGTTTATAAGTTTTATAACATTTGGTTTAGACAAACAAAAGTTAGAGAACGGAAACGAAAAATTCAGCAATTTTTATGTTTATAAAGGGACATAACTCAAGAATGGTAAAAGTGTCGCCACCAAATTTCGTACTTAATCTGTATTATGTAGTAATAAGCATTGTGTATAAGTATCATAACATTTGGTTGAGGCAAACTAAAGTTAGAAAACGGAAACAAAAAATTTGTACTTGATCTTAGTTTTGAGGTAATGCATACCTGCCAACTTTTGAAAGTCCCCATGGGGGTTTTAGTGCGCAACAACAATTCTTCGCAACATATTTTGCGCATGCTGTTTTGTGGTCTAGAAAAAGTGTCATATTTGTATGATGAGCTTACAAGCCCTTTTCTTAAGTTTATTAGCATAATTCTAGTTATTATTAATATATCAGTAGAAAAGATGAATCTGTAGCTAGAAGACCAGGATTTATTTTCTTGTGTTAGGATATTAAATGATTGTTGATGTTTAAAATTTAAAATTATGCATAAAGAAGGACTTTTATCAGGTTGGGAACAACACCCCAAATGAGGGGTAACCCCTCAATGTAAGGACATTAAAAACCAATTTTAAGTACAAATGAGCACATATCTATAATATTTGAAGAAACTTTTCCTAAAGAATTATACATCTATCTGGTATTATATCAAAACATGTCCAAGAATTTTGTAATGTTCCTGGATTTTTATCTTCTTTATTATCAAAAATAATTGGACCCCTCATTTAGAAAAGACTTTTAAGTTGTTCCAAATATAATGAATTTTCCCAATTTTAAAAATTTAAGTTAAAAAATCTTAATTTTTCTTTTTTCTTTTATACAATATATTTAAGGGATATTCCCCTCATTTGGGGGTTTGTTCCGAACCTGTTTGTTTGGTCCTTGTGAAAAATGAAATACAAAATGTATAGTACATTGTACCTTAAATGATTTGCCCCATTTGGTAATTTAATTGAATACAAAAATGACATATGTTTCAGCAAGTGTAATGTCAATAAATTAGTGAATAAACTACTATTTATTATCTTTATGGTAGTACTGTACATTGAATTTTGTCAATAAGCCATGCTTTTATTCTTAAGCTGTTTAAGAACCTCCTTGCAGATGAAAATTAACCTTCCATGTTCAAGATTTTACAATTCTGACTAACACACAGAGGAATACAACACAAGTTCAAAATCTAGCATGTTAGAATTATCTTAAGAGAAAACGTTTTTGATTGGCTTATTAATTTGATCATGAGAAACACAGAATTTGATTGGCTGATCACGATTGTCTTCCCTTGAGAACAGGTCAAAATCGGGAACAATCATATTTTTTGTGTAGATTTTCACAAAATCGTGTTTTAGAGTTTTTTTCACGATCACGATCGTGCAATCGTGACAAAGGGTCAAAATCGTGTAGTACACGCCTAAAACGTGAAAGTTGGCAGGTATGGTAATGAATATTGTGTATAGGTTTCATAATGTTTGGTTGGGGCAAACTTAAGTTACAGAATGGAAACTAAAAATTTTGCAATCTTTCGATTTATAAAGGGGTATACATTGTAACTCAATAATGGTTAAAGTGACACTACCCAAATTCAACTTGATCTGTGTTTTATCAGTGGAAGTCAAAATTAAACATTGCATTGTATAAAGCATTGATTGTAGTTGATTCAACTATAATCATGGACAAAGGAAGATAACTCCCAATTTTAATAAAATGCTCCGCAGGGCGCAGCTTGGTACGACCGCAGAGGTCGAACCCTGAACAGTTGGGGCAAGTATGGACACAACATTCAAGCTTGATACAGCTTTGCATTTGGATTGTGATTAAATATTTGACACAGCATAGGTTTCTGACACAGAATGAATGTGGTCTAAGAACTTAAAAATTTTAAATTGGACATTCACCTATTATGGTCCAATATCCAAAATCTAAATACATGGTTAGATTCAGCATATCAAAGAACCCCAAGAATTCAATTTTTGATGAAATCAAACAAAGTTTAATTTTGGACCCTTTTGACCTCAATGTGGACAAAGTTGATAACGGGGCCCAAAAATCAAAAATCTAAATACATGGTTAGATTCAGCATATCAAAGAACCCCGTATATTCAATTTTTGTTGAAATCAAACAAATTTTAATTTTGGACCCCGATTTGGACCAACTTGAAAACTGGGCCCATAATCAAAAATCTAAATACATGTTTAGATTCAGCATATCAAAAAACCCTAAGAATTCAATTTTTGTTAAAATCAAACTCTGTTTAATTTTGGACCCTTTGGACCTTAATGTAGACCAATTTGAAAACAGAACCAAAAATTAAGAATCTAAATACACGGTTAGATTCGGCATATCAAAGAACCCCAATAATTCAATTTTTGATGAAATCAAACAAAGTTTAATTTTGGACCCTTTGGACCTCAATGTTGACCAATTTAAAAACAGGGCCCAAAATCTAAAAACTAAATACAATGTTAGATTCAGCATATTAAAGAACCCCAAGAATTCAAGAATAAAACCCCATTGAAATTGGTCAAGAAATAAGCAATTTATACGAAGTATCTTCTTTTGCACAATACTGTGCAATTAAATATTTCTTGCTATTGCGCAATACTGTACAATTGACAATTTCTAGCTATTGCGCAATATTGTGCTATTGGATATTTCTTACTATTGGGCAATACTGTGCAATTGAAGATTTCTTGCTATTGCGCAATACTGTGCAATTGAAGATTTCTTGCTATTGCACAATACTGTGCAATTGAAGATTTCTTGCTATTGTGCAATACTGTGCAATTGAAAATTTCTTGCTATTGCACAATACTTATTATACTTATTATATAATAATTTACACATCCTGATTGGTGTGTATCTCCTACCATATCATTATTATTTGCTTTTAAATATAAATCAGAAATAACCAACTTAAAATGGAAAATTTTAAAAGATAAAAAAAAGGAAAACCCCCATCCCCCCCCAATTTTTTGAACCCCCTTATGATTCATCACCCCCAAACTCAATCCCAGCCTTCCCTTTGAGGCATGGTACCTTGCAGTACAATTTCAGAGAGATCCATACACTTGAACACAAGTTATTGTCTGGAAACTAGAAAAATGTGTTTTTTGGCCCCTTTTTGGCCCCAAATTCCTAAACGTTTAGGGCAATTACCCCCAAATTCAAACCCAGCTTTCCCTTTGTGATATGGAACCTTGTAGTACAATTTCAGAAAGATCCATACACTTACACACAAGTTATTGTCCTGAAACTAGAAAAATGCTTGTTTTTTGCTCCTTTTTGGCCCCTAATTCTTAAAATATTGAGGCAATTACCCCCATCATCAATCACAGCCTTCCCTTTGTGGTATGGTACCTTGCAGTACAATTTCAGAGAGATCCATACACTTGAACACGAGTTATTGTCTGGAAACTAGAAAAATGCTTATTTTTGGCCTCCAATTCCTAAAATTTTGAGGCAATTACCCCCAAAATCAATCCCAGCATTCCTTTTGTGATATGGAACCTTGTGGTACAATGTCAGAGAGATCCATACACTAACACACAAGTTATGTCTGGAAGTTACAATAAAATGCTTCGCTGGGGCACAGCTTGATACGACCGCAGAGGTCGAATCCTGAACAGTTGGGGCAAGTATGGACACAACATTCAAGCTTGATACAGCACTGAATTTGGATTGTAATTAAATATTTGACACAGCATAGGTTTCTGACACAGAATGAATGTGGTCTAAGAACTTAAAAATTTTTAATTTATCTATTCAAACCATATCATTATTATTTGCTTTTATATATAAATCAGAAATAACCAATTTAAAATGGAAAATTTCAAAGAAAAAAAAGGAAAAAAAAATCCCCCTCCCCCCAAAATTTTTTGAACCCCCTTATGATTCATCACCCTCAAACACAATCCCAGCCTTCCCTTTGTGGTATGGTACCTTGCAGTACATATGATGGACTGTGAAACTAAGATCAGGAGTTTGGGAAATTTTGGTCAGGAGATTAGGACTCAGATCAGGAGGTTTTTAATCGACATAAATTCTGTCGTAAATGTAACCGTGTGCTGTAGAAATTGTCTGTTAAAGTGTGCTTTCTTCAACTTTCCATCTGAATGTATTATGTTTATAGTACCCTTGTACTTATAAATTTTCTCTATCTTTTTAAACTTTCAACTTGTTCAATCTAACATTCTTCTTTTTAAGTATGTTCTTTAAATTTTTTAGGTCATATCTTTTTTTCCATTATTCATTGCAATCAGAATATTTGCTTATCTATCTGCAAGTAGATCTTTTATTTTAATCTTTATGCAAGTAGATTTTTAATGCATGATAAGTAACACATTCAAACTGGAATCATGGGTCATAGTTAATATATAAATTTCAATTTAAGCCTTGAAAGGAAGTATAGAACCCTCAAATAATTTTCAAATTATTATTTTTTTATTTGTCCTAAGACATTTAAAATCATTTAATTACCATCCTTTTATGATTATTTGTTCAATTTATATTTTATTTATATTCTTTTAAAAATTTACATTATTTAAAGGAAAGTAACTTAAAACAGGATAAATCAAGGGAAGTAACCCAACATTCATTTATAAATATACAAAGTTTTATTACACAACGGCAGTTAGCCTGATGTAAAAATCGTTGATTACCAGTATGTTTGACACCCAAGGTGACAAGTGAAGCCATATAATTATCATGTTAATTGATTTACAGGTAAAATATAACTTCAGGTAATGTCAGTTACACCAGATATGTTGGGCTGAAATTTTTCATTCATGAAATATTTCATACACAGGATTTTTTTGTCTTCAACGGGAGGTCGGGAGGAGACCCCTGAAAACGGGATTATTGTATTCCCTTCGGGAGGTTCACATGTATGATTACTGTACAATTTCAGGGAGATCAATACACTTGAACAAAAGTTATTGTCTGGAAACTAGAAAAATGCTAATTTTTTGGCCCCTTTTTGGCCCAAAATTCCTAAACATTTACGGTAATTACCCCCAAACTCAAACCCAGCTTTCCCTTTGTGATATGGAACCTTGCAGTACAATTTCATAAAGATCCATACACTTGCACACAAGTTATTGTCCTGAAACTAGAAAAATGCTTGTTTTTTGCCCCTTTATGGCCCCTAATTCCTCAAATTTCTAGGGATTTAACCCCAAAATCAATCCCAGCCTTTCCTTTGTGGTATGGTACCTTGCAGTACAATTTCAGAGAGATCCATACACTTGAACAAGTTATTGTCTGGAAACTAGAAAAATGCTTATTGTTGGCCCCTTTTTGGCCCCTTATTCCTGAACGTTGTGGGAAATTACCCCCAAAATCAATTCCAGCTTTCCCTTTGTGATATGGAACCTTGTAGTACAATTTCATAAAGATCCATACACTTACACACAAGTTATTGTCATGAAACTAGAAAAATGCTTGTTTTTTGCCCCTTTTTGGCCCCTAATTCCTAAAATTTGGAGGCAATTACCCCCGAAATCAATTCCAGCATTCCCTTTGAGATATGGAACCTTGTGGAACAATGTCAGAGAGATCCATACACTTGAACACAAGTTATTGTCATGAAACTAGAAAAATGCTTGTTTTTTGCCCCTTTTTGGCCCCCAATTCCTAAAATTTAGAGGCAATTACCCCCAAAATCTATCCCAGCATTCCCTTTGTGATATGGAACCTTGTGGTACAATGTCAGAGAGATCCATACACTAACACACAAGTTATGTCTGGAAGTTACAAAAATGCTTATTTTTGGCCCCTTTTTGGCCCCTAATTCCTTAACTGTTGGTACCATAACCCCCAAAATCAATCCCCACCTTCCTTTTGAGGTATTGAACCTTATGGTAAAATTTCATAGAGATCCATTCACTTAAACTAAAGTTAGAGTGCGAAAACCAATGTGTATTCGGACGACGACGCCGGACGACGACGACGACAACGACGACGACGACGACGACGCCAACGTCATACCAATATACGACCACAAAATTTTTTTGCCGTCGTATAAAAATGCTTATTTTTTGCCCCTTTTTGGCCCCTAATTCCTTTACTCTTGGTACCATAACCCCCAAAATCAATCCCAACCTTCCTTTTGTGGTATTGAACCTTGTGGTAAAATTTCATAGAGATCCATTCACTTAAACTAAAGTTAGAGTGCGAAAACCAATGTGTCTTCGGACAACGCTGGACGGCGACGACGACGACGCCAACGTCATACCAATATACGACCACAAAATTTTTTTTGCAGTCGTATAAAAATTGCTTGATATATTTAGAAGAAAATAAAAATTTAGCAATTTTTCCATTTCTAAAGGGGCACAACTCTAGAACGGTTAAAGTGACACCACCAAAATCCAAACTTGATCTGTGTTTTGTGGTAATAAGCATTGTGTATAAGTTCCATAACATTTGGTTGAGGCAAACTTAAGTTAGAGAACGGAAACTAAAAAATTTGCAATTTTTCCATTTATAAAGGGGCATAACTCTAGAACAGTTAAAGTGACGCCATCAAAATTCAAACTTGATCTGTGTATGTGGTAATAAGCATTGTGTAAAAGTTTCATAACATTTGGTTGAGGCAGACTCAAGTTAGAGAATGGAAACCAATTTTGGGACGTATATACGTACGTTCGTCCCAAAATTGGTTTCCGTTCTCTAACTTGAGTCTGCGTTCGTACGTACGTCCCAAAATTGGTTTCCGTTCTCTAACTTGAGTCTGCCTCAACCAAATGTATGTACGTACCAGACGGACAAGGGTAAAACTTAATGCCCCCACCGCTATGGCGGGGGCATAAAAAGACAAAGATCTACTTTTATTTTCTGATTTGTTTGTATTGATATAAATGCCCTCCATAACGATCTGAACATTCATTGATTTCATGGCTATAAATAGACATCTAGATATGTGTAATAGCAATAATTTGTATTTAAATGTTATTTTTGTCTCGATTAAAAGTAATTTTATAAACTCTAACTTTAATTGTTCTCGTTTCGAATATGTGTATTTGAGTGATTATAATTATTATGTATTTTAATAACGATATATATCATGTATATAACTAGATTATTCCGGTTAACCACTGTTTACAGGGAATAAGACTTAAAATTTTCTAACTAGGGGCCCAACCTGCCACAATGTGAAATATAACAAAAGCACTATGGGCATTTTAATAAAAAATTTAGGGGCCAACCCAAATTTTAGTAGCATTGGCTACTGGGTCCCTGCTAATCTTTTTCCCGGATTTATTTTATAAACATGCACCACGATGTATATAAAGAACAATACGCTAAATATTCTATATTTTTTATTAATAAAACAAATATAAAAGTGAACAATGTGTAATTATAAGTCATTTTAATACATTAATAGTATTCAGTGTCATATTGTTATATGTAGTTTGTAACTATACCGAATCTAAACAAAGCTTTCGTAGACCGTAGATTGAGTGCATTTAAAAAAGTTGGTACGAGTTTGCAATGGTACGAATTTACCATGGTATGAGTTTACTTTTAGTGGAACGAGTTGACATTGGTACAAGTTTGCAATGGTACAGGATAACTATAATTCGGAGGATATAATCCTGATCCAAAGGTCATACTTGACACAAGTTGTCTCTTGGTACTTCTTGGTTTCCTCATATGCTGTTGCTCAAAGTAGTTTATCATGGTACTAAAGATTACTGTTTAGGCACAGGCACTTGGTGTCGTATATATGCAATAAGATGCTCAAAATAACACTCAATAAAATGCTTCGCTGGGGCGCAGCTTGATACGACCGCAGAGGTCGAACCCTGAACAGTTGGGGCAAGTATGGACACAAAATTCAAGCTTGATACAGCTATGACTTTGGATTGTCATTAAATATTTGACACAGCATAGGTTTCTGACACAGGATGAATGTGGTGTAAGAACTGGAAAAAATTTAATTTACCTATTATGGTGGAATATCCATAAACTAAATTGTTTGTTAATTTCAATATATCAAAGAATATGTAGAATTCAATGTTTGATGTAATGTAATAAAGTTGAAATTTGGACCGTTTTTGTTCAATGTGGACCAATTTGGTAACATGTATAAATAATCAAAAATCTAAATACATGGGAGCCCATTTAAATACATCATAAAGGTATTAAAATAGAAAGTGACATCATAGTCATGGCTAAAAATAAACAAAAATCCTTAATCAGCAACATTTAAAGTAATATCTAAAAATAAAATTCCTTTGTAACCATAAAAGCCCATTTAAATACATCATAAAGATATTAAAATAGAAAATGACATCATAGTCATGGCTAAACATAGCAAAAAACCCTTAATCAGCATCATTTAACAGTAATATCTAAAAATGGAAATTACATCATAAAGGTATTAAAATAGAAAATGACATCATAGTCATGGCTAAAAATAAACAAAATCCTTAATCAGCATCAGCAACATTTTATAGTAATATCTAAAAATAAAATTCCTTTGTAACCATAAAAGCCCATTTAAATACATCATAACAGATATTAAAATAGAAAATGACATCATAGTCATGGCTAAACATAGCAAAAACCTTAATCAGCATCATTTAACAGTAATATCTAAAAATAAAAATTTCTTTGCAACCATAAAAGTAAAATAGAAAATGACATCATAATCATAGCTAAAAATAAACAAAAATTTTTTTATTGGCAAATTTTAAATGGAGTTTATTATACTAAAACAATAAATTTGCAACCATAAACATGATAAAACCCCATTTAAACACATCATAAAAGTATTAAAAAATTCAACTACATCATAAGGCTATAAAAATAGAAAATGACTTCATAGTCAAGGCTAAAGGTAAACAAAAAACCTTAATCAGCAAAATTTTATATTGGCAAATTTCCAATGAAGTTAATTACACTAAAATTGTTGGCAAATTTCCAATGCATTTATTAACAATAAAGTTATTGGCAAATTTCCAATTTACATAATTTAAAAGCAGTGTAGATGAGATATTTAAATGAGTTTGAATTACCAACCTTACACTGCTTTTAAATAATGTTCTTTACTCAATTATTTGTCTATTAAAATGGAAACCCTTGTTTTTTAACCTTTTTTCCCCTTATTCCTTAAACATTAGAGCCATAACCACCCCCCCAAAGCCAATTATTACTTTCCAATGTAACCTAAATTTCCAATATACATAATTTTAAATTTCAATTCCTCATGATATATAACCGTATCATTATTATTTTCTTTCATATATAAATCTGAAACAACCATCTTTAAATGGAAAATTTTAAAGAAAAAAAAAGGAAAAAAAAAAATCCCACACATTTTTTCAACCCCCTTTTGATTCATCATCCCCCACCTCAATCACAACCTTCAATTTGTGGTATGGTACATTGCAATACAATTTCACAGAGATCCATACACTTGAACACAAGTTTTTGTTGCAAACTAAAAAAATCCTTATTTTTGACCAATATTTGGCCCCTTATTCATAAATGTTTGAGCAATTAACCCCAAAACTCAATTCCTACTTTCTCTTCGTGATAAAAAATAACTAACTTAAAATGTAAATTTTAAACAAAAAAAAAAGGAAAAAAAAAATTACCCCTTTTTTGACCCCCACCCCCTTATGATTCATCACCCCCACCCCCCTCTCCCCCCATACCAAGCTCAATAACAGCCTTGCCTTTGTGGTATGGTACCTTGTAATACAATTTTAGAGAGATCCATACACTTGAACACAAGTTATTGTCTAGAAACTAAAAAATGCTTATTTTAAACCCCTTTTTAGGCCCCTTATTACTAAACGTTTTGGGCAATTACCACAACACTCAATTCCAGCTTTCCCTTTGTGAAATGGAACCTTGTAGTAAAATTTCAGAAAGATCCATACACTTACACACAAGTTATTGTCATGAAACTAGAAAAATGCTTGTTTTTTGCCCCCTTTTGGCCCCTTATTCCTAAAATTTTGAGGCAATTAACCCCAAAATCAATCCCAGCATTGACCCTTTGTGATATGGAATCTTGTGGTACAATGTCAAAGAGATCCATATGCTAACACACAAGTTTTGTCTGGAAGTTACAAAAATGCTTATTTTCGGCCCCTTTTTGGCCCCTAATTCCTTAACTGTTGGTACCATAACCCCCAAAATCAATCCCCACCTTCCTATTGTGGTATTGAACCTTATGGTAAAATTTCATAGAGATCCATTCACTTAAACTAAAGTTAGAGTGCGAAAACCATTATGTATTCGGACGACGACGCCGGACGACGACGACGACGACGACGACGACGACGACGACGCCAACGTCATACCAATATACGACCTCAAAATTTTTTTGCGGTCGTATAAAAAGTATAATTTTGGACCCCAACTTGGACCAACTTGAAAACTGGGCCCATAATCAAAAATCTAAACACATGTTTAGATTCAGCATATCAAAGAACCCCAAGAATTCAATTTTTGTTAAAATCAAACTAAGTTTAATTTTGGACCCTTTGGACCTCAATGAAGACCAATTTAAAAAACGGGACCCAAATTAAAAATCTAAAAACACGGTTAGATTTGGCATATCAAATAAAACCCCAATAATTCAATTTTTGATGAAATCAAACAAAGTTTAAATTTGGACCCTTTTGACCTCAATATGAACCAATTTGATAGCGGGGCCTACAAATAAAAAATCTAAATACATGGTTAGATTCAGCATATCAAAGAACCTCATATATTCAATTTTTGTTGAAATCAAACAAAGTTTAATTTTGGACCCCAATTTGGACCAACTTGAAAACTGGGCCCATAATCAAAAATCTAAATACATGTTTAGATTCAGCATATCAAAGAACCCCATATATTCAATTTTTGTTGAAATCAAACAAAGTTTAAATACTGGACCCTATCTTGGACCAACTTGAAAACTGGGCCCATAATCAAAAATCTAAACACATGTTTAGATTCAGCAAATCAAAGAACCCCAAGAATTCAATTTTTGTTAAAATCAAACTAAGTTTAATTTGGACCCTTTGGACCTCAATGTAGACCAATTTAAAAAACAGGACCCAAAATTAAAAACCTAAATACACGGTTAGATTTGGAATATCAAAGAACCCCAATAATTCAATTTTAGATGAAATCAAACAAAGTTTAATTTTGGACCCTTTTGACCTCAATATGAACCAATTAGATAACGGGGTCCACAAATAAAAAATCTAAATACATGATTAGATTCAGCATATCAAAGAACCCCATGTATTCAATTTTTGTTGAAATCAAACAAAGTTTAATTTTGGACCCCAATTTGGACCAACTTGAAAACTGGGCCAAAAATCAAAAATCTAAATACATGTTTAGATTCAGCATATCAAAGAACCTCATATATTCAATTTTTGCTAAAATCAAACAAAGTTTAATTTTGGACCCTTTGGACATTAATGTAGACCAATTTGAAAACTGGACCCAAAATTAAAAATCTAAATACACTGTTAGATTCGGCATAACAAATAAATAAATGTGATCAAAGATTTTACAAATCTAATGCGCCATACTGTGCAATTAAAGATTACTTCTTGAAATTTTTCAATATTTGAAATTTGAAAAAAAAATAATATTTGAAGAATAATTCTTTTTAATTTCTGAAATCTGAAATGAGAAAAAATTGGCCCCCCACAATTTCTTTTTATCCCCCCCCCTTTTTCCCCCAAAAAAATTCTTTCCCTCAAGATATGGTCATAATCTCAATTCAAATTTCCAATGGAGTTGGCAACCATAATTACCCATTTAAATTTACCATAGTGCTAACTTAATCTATTTTATAATAGAATTAATAAAAATATAGTGTCAAATCTTTCATATGGATTTTTTTGTAAAAAAAAAAGATGAAAACATTTGCAGATATTTTTACTGGTCTTCCTTTATAAATATGCATTTCTTTAAACATAATTTAAAAGCAGTGTAAGGGAAGTAACCAAAACGTTGTATTTGGATTACCTCCCTTACACTGTTTTAGATTATCTTTATTGTTCATTAACCATTACTTTATACATAATTTAAAAGCAGTGTAAGGGAGATAATTTCAATGATGTATTTGATTTATCTCCCTTACACTGCTTTAAATTATGTTTTGTACTAAAGTATTTGTCCATTAACCAGGACAACCTTGTTTTTCCCCCTTTTTTGCCCCTAATTCCTAAACGGTTTGAGCCATAACCCCCCAAAGCAAATCCTAACCATCCCTTTGTGGTATGGAAACTTGTAGTATAATTTCAGAGAGATCCATACACCGTTCCACAGTTATTGTCTGGAAACTAGAAAATGCTCATTTTTGGCCCCTTTTTGGCCCCTAATTCCTTAACTGTTGGTACCATAACCCCCAAAATCAATCCCAACCTTCCTTTTGTGGTATTTAACCTTATGGTCAAATTTCAAAAAGATCCATTCACTTAAACTAAAGTTAGAGTGCGAAAACCAATATGTATTCGGACGACGACGCCGGACGACGACGACGACGACGACGACGACGACGACGACGACGCCAACGTCATACCAATATACGACCACAAAATTTTTTTGCGGTCGTATAAAAACTTAGTTACAAAAACTACTTTTACCACATATGGTCTATCTCACTATATATCAAATGGTGGATTTTACATGAATTGAGGTATAATCCACCAATTAATGGTTATTCTTGATCTGTTAGTGTATGTTAGAAACTTGTCTGGACCCTGTGAGTGCAGCATAAATACTACATTAGACATGTCATTTGAGGGGGGGAAACGAAAGACATTTACCTCAATGTATGCAAGACTGACCTTTGTAAGTACAACGAACAATATGAACACTGATTGACCGTTTACAGTTCGCATTTTCACTGGCATATGTATAAATTCCTCTGATATTATTACTAACAATGACAAATATGTCTGGTAGATGACATGACGTCATTCATTCATTAATTCTGGAAAGGTGCTTATGGTTGGTCTAAAATTTCTATCTTATTTTCATAACTAGTTGCCGACAGACGAACGACACAATGAGAACGAAATCTTAAACCATTGTGCCAATACGTTCGGCAAACCTCTGCTGAGTCCGGTAGCCTCCAGTAAGATATAATCGGTCAATGTTCTATACTACGGGTGTTGTTTTAGAACCTTGATGAGGGTCTCGCACGGTCGATATGTGCCGAACGACAGCAAGTCGGGGTTACACTAAAGACCTGAAGGCAAAACAAAAAAATGACCTAAAATAATATTCGGCACACCTCCGCCGGTTAGATGCGTTAGATGTATGGTAGCGGTATATGCCTGATCCTGATCTTCAGGTCAAAATTGACACAACTTGTCTCTTTGTACTACTTTTTTCCTCTTATGGTACACCGTTGTTCATGGTAATTTCTCGCGGTACTTTAGCAGGAATCCGGGTCCGTTCGCCCCCTTTCACGTTCGCACCCTGGGTCCGTTCGCACCCTTTTTATTGGTTTTGTGTTGAATAATTTTTTAATCGTGTTTTAGTTAGTATGTTGCTATAAATAAGTGTTTTTATTGTTTCTAAACAAAGAGACGTTCAAAAAACGTAAACAGGTTTCCTTTAGTGTTTTATTAATTATTTTGACGAAATGAATAATAAATAAAAAAATTGTCCTGATGATCATGGCAAAGTTCATTCATCTAAGACTTGTAAATGAAAGGCGGAAGAGAATTTTTATTGATGAAAATATAAATATTTTGATATATACATGTATATACATCTAAAAAACATCAAATAATTCAACCAAAGTTTAGAATATGATAATGTTATATAAAAAGTGTTTAGGCGCTGGAAAGGGATTTAGGCTTGCTAGTCAGTCTTGAAATCTAGCTATATGTTCTCCGTCAATTTGAGCTGTTGCTTCGTAGGTTTCTCTCTTTGGTGGTGACACTATTGATCGTATGTCTATTGAGATGTTCAGTATTTCAAGCTGTCTTAGTATGTCTTCTCTTTCCTGGTGTCTTGGGTAGTATAGAAAGAAGTGTTTTGTTGTTTCTTCTTCCTCGCATTCACAATATGGCGTGAGGATTGACCTATTTGGTTTCTGTATTTGTTCAATCTGCTGTAACCTGTTCTCGATTCTGACAATATTCTTCCTATTTTACCGGGGGGTTTTGGTGTGTCAAGTTTTATGATCCCTCCAAATAATAGGTATTAGATCGAAAAGTTGTCTCCCAGTTGCACTAATTGTCCATCTACTTTGCCATTTCAATTTTGAAGACATCTTGACTGCACTTCTAACATCTGACATTGTTATGACATTAAATTGGTCGTTTAGTGATGACTCAGATGCCTCCTTTGCAGCATCTTTTGTCAACTGGTCCGCTATCTCGTTCCCGGATATATTAGCATGGCCTGTGATCCAAGATGAGTTGTTAGTATGCCGTGTCTCAAGAGTGTCCCATGCTTTCTCTAATGTCTGTTATTGTCTCAATGTAGTTTGAAGATTTCAAATTTAGAGTCAAGATGCCTACAGCAGTCTACCGGGCTATCAGATAGTATTTTGACCTCAGAGAACTGGTCCTTAATTGTTGTAATGCAGTGCTTTTGAACCATTAGGATAGCTACAAGTTCGGCAAGTGGTATTGATCCTCTGCTAGCTACTGGCCTCTTTAAGCTATTAACGCCTTGGCTATTTTCAGAATATACTACTGCCCCCGCCCCACATAGTCCTGGGTTACCATGACAAGAGCCGTCAGTGAATGCCGCTACTGTTGAGTCTGTGCTGTCTCCTAGTATGTTCTTTACAACCTGTTTACTTTCAACAGTTTGAACTACCTTGTTGACTCCAGTACTTTGGTGCTCTCATCAGCATAAAATCTGCGCTAGCTTTATATGTGAACTCTGGTTCTATAAGTTTGATATCAACCTTTGTAGCTTTGAACATGTCTATGGATTGGTTTATAGCCTTACCAAATGGGGAATCTTCATTTGTTCATATGTATCGCTGTTGGTTAGATACTGTTCCAGTTGTTGTTTAGTTGGTTCAGCTATGTTCTTAGATTGAATTTTTGCCAATTCACTAATTGAGATTTCTTCGATTCTAAGGTCGATATATTGTATATTGGCTTCGACTTCCATTGCCTCTCTACTTGATGTTCTTGGTGGTCAAAGGCATAGTGGCAAGCCTTTTCTTTGTACAGCTTCGAGTTTTTTCATATTGTCTGCAGATTTTAATTGCCAAACTGGGCATGCGTACTCCATAATAGATCTTACCATGCTGTTGTAGATTTGGAGTAGTTTTGTTCTTGATATTCTTCCCATTCCCTTTAATATATCTCTTATTTCGTATATTGCATTATTTGCTCTTTTCTGCATTAGGCTGATGTGTGTGTCAAATTTTAGTTTCTCATCTAGAGTTACACCGAGTAGCTTGGGTGTAGGATTCCATATAAATTTAAAGGAGTTGACGATTAATGTTTTCTGCTCTGCATCTGTGTTGTCTTTTGAAAATAGACATAATTCACATCTTTCCAGGTTTACATTAATTCTCCATTTTTGTGTCCACTTTAATATTGTTTTGACATCCTCTGCAGTTTTTTCTTTCATCTTGTTTATGACTTTTCTCTTGTGCCATAATGTGCCATCATCTGCAAACTTGCAGTTTTCTCCTTTGGTGTTTTCCATTATATCATCTATGAAAATATTAAATAAGGTGGTGACAGTACTACTGACCCTTGTGGTAAGCCGATTTAAGTATCAAACTGTTCTCCCAAGAAATTATTTAGCATACATCTGCCTGTTCTATTTGTGAGGAAGCTGTTTATCCATAACCAGGTGTTTCCCTTTATACCGAGCTTATGCAGCTTGATCATTAACTCCTCACGTCATATTGAGTCGTATGCCTTTTCTATGTCCACTAGCCATGCCAGTATTGATTCGTCCTCACCGAAACCGTCAGCTATTGTTTGAACTAATCGAAGTAAAGCATTTGTTGTTGAGTGATTTTTTCTGAACCCTCTTGGGTTAAATCAATCAATCTGTGACCCTCAATATATGCCACAATACGTTCTAAGATGACTCTCTCCATTAGTTTGCATATAATGCATGTTAGGCTAATAGGTCTGTAGGAAGAGGAAAAGCAATAACTGGCTTTCCCAGGTTTTCTTAGGAACTTTGCATCTGCCATTTTCCATTCTGTTGGTCTTTCACCCTTCTGCCATATCATGTTCATCATTGCCACTATAGCCTCTGTAAAAAGTAAAATAACGAAAATACAATTTATCAGCTACATGCTTGAAAAATTCAGCAAACTGCTGATCCGGGCCTGGGGGCAGTCCCTGTTCGGAGGCGATATATAACGGCTTCTACCTCGTTTTTTGCTGATTTCTATATCGAAGCCATCTCTGTGTTGGTCTGTTCCACTAATTTTTTATAGTTGTTATTTAATTCTACATATTCTTTGTTGATCTCATCATAGAATTCTTTATCAAACGAGTCAGCTTTTAGGTGGCTCCCTCCAAAGAATTTGTTTTGTAAAAGTTCAACTTTACCTTTATTGTCAAATATCGGATCTTTATTTTCATCAATTAATGGTAGCACTGAATTATCTTCTGTTTTCATGGACATCTTTTTGTAGGTGTTCTTAAAGTCTTTTGAGTTTTTAGTCTGGTTTAACTGATTTACGAGGTTATTACTCCATTCTTCTTGTGCCTTTTCTTTTGCTTTGTCAAAGTTGTCTTCTGCAGTGGTAAGTCTTTGTTTGTTTTGTGTTATGTTCCTCATTCTGTATTGTTTCTAGCAGTGATTTAGATCTGTTTTGGCAGATATCACAGTGCTATTCCACCAGCATGGCTTTTGATGTTTCCTTGGTCTGATTTCTTTATATGGAATCATTTCTTTTTGTGTTGTATTTATGATGTCAGAAAATGAATGGTAAATATGGTCAACTGAATGAGTGTTTTCTGGTTTGTTTTCCAACCATTCACCAAACCTTGCTTCTGTGACACGTTTCCACTCTTCCTAGTTTACCTTGTTTAATTGCCATACTTTCTTTGGTGTTCTCCAGTTGTCTTTTGAACAAACACGTAGATTTGTAAGGACACTAATATGGTCAGATCTGATGGTCTCGTGCGATAGTGTGTCACAACTTATCAAATTATGTTGGAAACTTGAACTCATCAGCATAAGGTCTATAACAGAGTCTGAATTCCTTCTTGTTGGTTTTTCTACATTTATGCATATCATATCTTGTTTAGTTAGCATATTTTCTATTAATTCTCCAGCTTTATTAGTCTTGATGATTCTCAATTCTTGACTTTTGGCATTTAGGTCTCCTGCAATTATCAAGGGTAAACTGCTTTTAACATCTTCTAGTTTCGTGCGTAGTTTTTCTATTTGGTCGGATATATCTGGTGGTATGTATGGGTACAGCAATTAAAACTTTATGCCTTTTTGATAGATACTGATTCACATTCCGGGCTGTTATAAATGTCTGTTTCAATAGCAACAAAGTTTGCGTTTTTTCTCCTACGCAAATTGCTACTCCTCCACCTTTTTCATATTCTGGATTTATCAAAGAATTTCCAGTTTAAAAGTTTAGTTTCCTATTTACTAGTTCATCTTGAAAAGTTTCATTTATACAAACAACATCAACATCAAATGTATTTACACTATTTACAATGTCCTTGTATGCCGTATTAATAGCTTTGGCATTAATAAGAAGGGTTTTCATCCTGACGGACTTCAGCTGTTAGTATCCTTTGTATTTCTAGTCTCTTTAATATTTGCTGATACTTAAGGCACCTTGCTGAGGTTGTCGGATGGTCCCCACTACAGTTCACACACTTTGGAGATGACGGACACTGTCTGAGGTTGCACTCCTCCTTGACACAGTTACTACAGGTATGCTTGTTGGATCAGCTTCTTGCAATATGGCCTGGTCTATTGCAGTTAAAGCACCTTGTTAATTAGATTTTCAATCTGGCTCGAATTTTTCTCTATTGTCTGTCT